TCAAGTACCCACAAACATATTTTAGTCGATTATGGATTGCATCTCGGACTCGACTTAGTCTCACATACATAAATATATCTCAGTCGAATATGAGTCACTCTCCTAACTCAACTAATCCTCAACATATATATTTAGTATCAAGAACACACAAAGCATTACTACAACATCTTATAATTAATCACAAATATAATGTATATATATATATATATATATATATATATATATATATATATATATATATTATGGTAGTTCTCATATTACAAGATATTTTTTTATGCATATATTAACAATTAACACATATTATTTCATGTTCAATACATATATTCTATTATCCTAAGTCGTGTGTATATATCATTTCTCACATTTTAGCAAAGAATTATATTTGAAGATTTTACCTATTTCTATTCTTTTGGTTATAATTTTTTTCTACAAATATCTTTTTTAGCTAATTTTTGTTTCATTGGATTTTCTTATTTCCATGACTTCAACTTGTTTTTTGGCTAATTTTTGTTTCATTGGTTTTCCTTATTTTCATGACTTCAATTTTTATATATAAAACGTTAAATTTAAAGTGTTAAGCTAATTTTTATGATTTTTAGAAGTTTTGACAGGCAAATTCTAATAAACTTCGCATGAACAAAAATATACCCTAGAATCACCTTCTTTTTTGGAAAATTTTCGCTTGAGTGAAATTTTTCTAGCTTGAGCAATATTAATTTTCGCTTTGCTTGAGCGAAAATACACTCGAGACAACCATCGACCACTAAGAATTTTTCACTTGAGGAAAATATTTTTGCTTGAGTAAAAATACACCCGAGAGGAGTCATTTCCTCTTCTGCACATCTTGCTTAAGTGACCAGTTGACACTTAAGGGAAATACACAAATAAGAGATTTCAAAAATACACTTTAAACTAGTTTTTAGGTATTAACCATTATTCTTTGAAACTCCATTACATTATTTCCTTATATAACATGTATATCTAGTCCAAATATCATTACTCTACCGTAACATTCCATACACATCTTTCTCACTTAATAAATCTAATACAATTCATTCAATCACATATAAATACCAATAATATCACTTACAATCAACTTCATGCAAATAAGACAATGTAACCAAGTCATCATCATAGTCCAAATAATTTATTTTAAGATGCTAAGAAATTTGCTACTAGCTTCCCTTACTTATAATTTTAATGCTCTTAAGTTTGAATGTTTCAAATTCATGATTTCCTATGAAGTCAGATCCTACTTACATAAAACTCCAATTAACAAATCGAATCTACTACAATGTTTTTAAATTAGTTAAAATTCATTTTTTCACAACAACGTCTACAAGCAAACCCTCCTAAGACCTACATGTAAACATAAACTCAATTATGCAAAAAATGATCTAGAAATTAGGAAACGAGAAACTTACTCTATTCACAATTTCGGTCGGGTAGAAATGATCTATTCTCTTTCAAGAAAACTAAGATATGCTTGAATCTAGAAAAATATAAAAGAGGGAGTGAGAAATTTAGAGAAGACAAAAAGAAGGGAGTTGTAGAAAAATGATAATTTTATGAGAATAAAGTTTGAATGGTTAAAATTTTTTTATCTATAATTTTTATCTTAAATGATAAAATTTTAAACTTATTTTCATTATACTACTTTTACTCTTAACTTACTTGTCACATTTTTTTTATTTTTAAACTATATTAATTAGATAAAAGAAATACTTAATTTTCCATTAGATAAAACAAAATACTTAATTTTCCTAATCAGACACTCCACCAATCTACGTGACTCCATCCTGATTTATTTAAAGATTAATGAAAAGTTTTATAATATAGTAATTTAACTTATCATACATAACAGTAAGAAACTTTAATTTTTGAAAAAAAAATTAAATTCATTTTTTATTCCTATAAGAGTGATTATTCATATAAGAGTTTCACTTTTGTGTAAAGTTTTTTTTTTTTCTTTCTCATTTCTCAAATACACATCACATCAAATCATAAACCATAGCACTCACTCAACCTTAAATCATAAATTTCTTAAATATCAAAAGTTAAAAATTATTTTAGTTAATTATTTTTTGAATTAAAATTTAAATTATCTCTATCCTTCATTATGAAGATTTTAGTTACTAATTGGAATTTCTAAACTAGGGTAATATCCTACGAAACTTTGTATAAAGAGAGTTATAGGATTGGTGTAAACCTAATCACAATCTTGTTTTAAGATTTGATATAGTATAATAGATAAGTGAGAATAAGAACAACCTAAACAAAAGAAGGAAAATATACAATTTGAAACAATATTTGTTATTTTCTCGAAAGTATTTTATTATTTTTTTAATATTAAAAAAAAAACTTAAATTACACAATTTATGTTTAGATATTCGTGTTTCACGAAATTGTTTTTAATGATGATAATTTTATATAATATTATAATAATTTAGACATAAAATTATTTTTATATAATCATTTAGCTATAGAATTTTTTTATCAATGGATAATTAGGAAATTGATAAAATATACATAAAAAAAGTTGTTAAACAATTATAGATAGCAATATTTCTTATTAATTACAAAAAAATCATCAAATTTTTAAAACTATAATGATATTTGAGACATATTAAACAATTTCATTCCCTCAATAAAATATATCAAAGATTAAACAACAATAAATATTGATAATTAAAATAATTAACATTTTTCATGAAGAAAAATAAAAATGAAATTTTTTAAATTGAAAATCAGTTTTAACTTTTAAAATCTTTAGATTTAGCACATGGATAAGCATATTTTGATTTTATTTTTTTATAAAACATTAAAAAAATATAATTTGAATGTTTTTAATTAGAATCAAATTATTCCCGTGAAAAAAGAATAAGTTATTTTATTTGATTTATTAGTTTAAAAAATTAGAAACTTCGTAATGAAAAAGTTAATTGAGGAAGGTTTGGTACAAACAATTTGCTTCTATAATCATATTAATTTTCTAAATATATATCAAATAAGTAAACAAATTAGTAAACTTTAAAAAATATATAATATTAAAAAGTTAATTATTAGTATTTATCATCACGAGACAATAAAAGTGCAAAATCATAAATTATATTAATTTTAAAATTTTAAATCATAATTTTCAATTTCAAGGATAATTTTGTTTTATTTTATTTTATTTATAGCATTCTTAATTAAGGCTAAATTAATTTAATTTTTAAAGATAAAATATATCAAAATCTTAATATATATATTAAATTAAGAATATATGGGGTAAACAATTTCCTACAAATATGCGTTACTTTGTCAATATATAGTAAATAAATTTAAATAGTTAATATAAACAAAACATTGATAATTAGTTAATAGTTAAAAAAATAGAACCTTGACACACAACAAAAATAATAATTATCACTTATTGTCATAAGATAAAGAAAAATATTTTTTTTTACATTGAAATCATTTTTAAATTTTAAATTATAGTTTTTATTTTTATGGATAAATATTATATTAGTCATAAATTTTACGATTAAGGCTAAATTTATTTTAGTTTTGGAGAAAAATATATCAAAAGTATTTGTATTTAGTTTCATTTTAATTCTTTTTATTGTATAAAAGGTACAAATTAATTTAATTTGAGTCATCAATTTAAAAATTGTAAATGTCATATTAAAAAATTAATGATTGATATTTATCATCATCAATCAATAACACAAAAGCAATTTTATATTAATTCTTTTCAATTATATTAGAATTATAAATTGACATTAATTTTTTTTCTACTCATAAAGATGAGAATTGACAAGTTTTTCAATGTTAAGCGTTTTATTTATAAGAAAAAAAATTGAGATGTGAAATAATTAAAGCATATTTAATTTATTATATTTGTAACTCGATATTATTTTATATTATCATTAACCTTTTAATTATTTTCAATTTCACATTTATATTTTAAATGTAATATTTTCATAAATATTTATTACGTGGATGGATCCATTATTTAGGGTCATTATCCGGTTTATCAAATTTTACATAATTTAAATTTTTATAAATATATTTTCTATTAATTAACATTGACATGTTTTCAAATACTATAGTATAATTTGATTAAGTTATATATATATATATATATATATATATATATATATATATATATATATATAATGAGAATCATCTTAAAAAAAATATTAAATCGATTATAGTGAAATTATGTAAAAGCGAAAAGGAATTTAAGATATTCAATGAAATTATTTTAAAAAAATTAAATAAAATAAAATTTTAATTATATTTTTAGTCCTTAAAAAATAATTATATTCTTAAACTCTCAAATCAAATGTTAAAAACAGTATTTGTTTTTTTTTTCTTAAATTGAAAAAATAATGATTAAAAATTTTAAACATGGAATTAAAATTATGTTTTTTTTTCTAGAAGTTTTTAAATTATTCAAATTTGATATTTAAAAGCTAAAATAATATTTTTTAAAATTTGAAGGATTAGGATATATTTTTAATTTAAGAAATTAAAATAAAATGTGTCTTCTTTTCGAAAAATAAAAAAGATAATTCAATCTAAAATAAAAGTCACAAATTTCCTATGAAACAAACCTTTATTTCTTGATATATATATATATATATATATATATATATATATATATATATATATATATATATATATATATATATATATATATATATTGGCAATTCATTAGTCAATAGATAATTAAAAAATTAAAAAATACAAAAAAAATTATAAAAATAGATTTTATTATAACTTTATTATTATTATTATTATTAAATTAATAGAAGAAAATATCAAATTTTTTTTTCCCATCTATGTATCATTCTCCTTTTATCTCTTATCCAAACCTTCACCGAACAAGGAAAAGACAAAACAAAACCGATAAAAGTATTCCCAGCTACAAACCTTATCCGTTTATTCCGTTGAAGACACCGCAAAACTCTTCCATTTCGTAGCCACCGAACTCACTCACCCGCCATGAAACGATGATTGCTCTCAAACCCATTGTTCACGCTTCCTTCACTCCAACCAGCGCCGCGCACGCGTTGCACCACGCGCCGCCCCACCTCGCGAGAGGTTCCGTTTGGTGCGTTTGCAGGTCGAAGGAGTCCGATTCCGAGGACTCCCCCGCCGAAGGAGATGCCAAGAGCCAAGAGCTTCTGGCACGCATCGCCATGCTTCAGACGCAGAAGGTTCGCCTCACCGATTTTCTCGATGAGAGGTCTGCATACTTGTCGCAGTTTGGGGAAGAGGCCAAGGCTGAGTTTGACAAGATCGGAGAAGATGCGCTTAAAGGCTTGGATGAAGCTGGTGCCAGAGTATGTCTCCTTCATCTTCTTCATGCATTACTCTTCTATTTAACTTTCCAGTTTATGTTTACGAAATATTACACACACCAACATTACTCCAAGATTATGGTTATATATGGTTGTCCTTACTTTATTAAAAAAAAAACACAGGAGTTGAAAGTATGAAATTTATTTAAGAAACATCATCTGATATGTGCCGTTGTTTCAAGTTTGATACCATGAAACTATAGTGTGTGAAATGTTTACTATAAACTTAAATGTTAATTTTAAGCTTGACATGCTAAATTGTATGTGGTTTTGGATCTTACATAATATTGCATAATTCAACCTGCATGGAGAATATATATATATACTCGAGTAAAAATGACTTTAACAATGACCCTTTTACATTCGTTTGTGATTAACAGATAACAGCAAACATAGAGAATGAGATGCTAGCATTCGAGGAATCTACTGAACTTAACAGACTAGAGATTGAGGAGAGTGAAAAAAAAGTGGTGGAGTTTGAGGGCCAAATGGAGAAGGACCGAAACGAAGGTCTATTCTTTAAGAACCTTGGACAGAAGGCACCTCTTGATGAGGCAAAACCCAAGGAGGAGGTGGAAAAGATCAAAGATGTGAACATAGAAAAAAATGGTGGCAAAACCAGGAAAAACGTTTATCTCTTCTTCATTGGCTTGCTGACTTTTGGAATAGTTGATTCTATTGCCTCATCCTCTGGTGCTGATTGGAAAAGAGTTTCAGTTCTTGGAGGTATTCTTGTGGTCTTGTTTTCTTTATTCATCAATGAACAAAACAAGGACAACAAGAAAGACTAACAAAGAAAAAAACTCTCTAGTTCATTTTCATTTTGATCAAATCAGAAGTTTCTAGGGGAAGACATTGTGAATAGATAATGCATGGTTGAATATTTGGCCCCAAATGAGAGCTTACAACTTGGACTTATGCATCAACTTCAGCTTATTTGCAGATTCTGCAAAAATGCAGAATTTCTTTAAATCTTGCGTTGATACAAAAGATATGTACATAGCTTTTAGGTGCATTTTCATCTCGTGGCCATTACAAATTTGTATTTAGATAGCACAACGCATATTTCTAAATCTTTGTCGTATAAACAAGTCATGAGAAACCATACAAACTCGAGGTCATATTCTCTGTTATACATAATAACAGAAGAAGTGAAAATTTTCTTTTAAGTCCGAAGTTTTGTTTAATTATATGAATTTTATTATTTTACTACAAAGTAAATTTGATTTTAATTTATTAATGATATAATAGATTTAACAAAAAAAATTAATATAGATTTTCACACTTAACTCAATTAGCATTTTTCTTATATGACAAGTTCATCCCAATTAAGTTGATTTCACCAATCATTTGCAGCATATATAAGCATGATAAGAGGAAAAATAAACACAAAATAACATGGAGGAACTAGAACAAAATCCATGGAAGTTCAAAAATATTAAGCAATAGGAAGGTAAACCAACCTTGTTTCTAAAAATCCCATCTCCAATAAAACCAGACATAGTATGCCACCAATTAAACAAAACCCTATTAATAAGATTATGATTCGCTAGTTTATCCACATACTCGTTACCTTCTAGAAACAAATGTGAATATCTAAATGAAATAGATAAACAAAATTAATACATGTTCTCCATCTTGCAGTCAACACCCAATTGAGTCTCACATTCAGAGTACCTATTTTAAATAACTATGATCATAAAACCAATATTAGAATAATATATTTTATTCTTAAGAATTCTTTTAAGACAAACCCCAATGGGCAAAAGCTCATATAACAATCCATGACACTACGAAGTCAATAAGTGGCGGATCTTCTTGGAGGCTGAGGGCTTAGGCCCCAAAGTTTTGTAACTCTCGTGTAATTTATGATTTTGGTAATAAACATTTAATATATTTACTTGTATATTTATAATTTTATCCTCTCAACCCTCCTCGATTTTGTAACTCTCATATAATTTATGATTTTGTTTCCCTCAAACTTAACTATAATTTAATATATTTAAGTATATATCTACAATTTTATCTTTTCACCCTTTCATATTCTTTCTTTCTTTTATATTTATTTATTATTTATTAATAATATATTATTTGGCACCCTAAGATCAATGATCAAGATCCGTCACTACTATGAATCTACAATCAACAAGCCCTGCCTAATAAAATATGTTTGCTACCCTTTATCCAGCATTTCCTTCATGTAATATGCTGCATTTCTGCCCTACTTAATTCATTTCTAAGGACTATCACCGGACATGGAAATTGGAAAGCTATTTCTCGCTAAAGACCTTTTTTTTTAGGTACATTTCAATTTTCTCGTTAAAAAATCAAATAGACCAAATCTCATCCACAAAGTGATGATGTTTTAGCCTTATGATAAAATTATCATCTCCATGAGTGAGTTTTATATTATTTAAGAATTAAGATTAAAAATAGGTTATATATTTATCTTTCTCATTTAATTTACTGAAACTGAAACGTCTTTTAAATACAAAATTGTGACATATTAAAATTTTATATTTAATATAATACCGAAATACTGTTATTATTCCACATAACATGATCCAACATTATTAATAATTAATGGTTGGAGTTGTCGTACTCATGGATATCTAAGCATATTTTTACATCTCTCCCTCTACCTCTCTTGATAGTTCATTTCATTTCCAAAAACTAGGTCATGAGAAAAGAATTGTTAAAGCGAAGCTCTATTGACCATATATATGGTACCACTCAATTCATGACTCAGAACTACAAGTAAAACAGTAGTACTTTTCTTTCAAAAAAATTTTCCCTTCCTGTTCTATATAACCACATTTTTAAACACCACATTCCCTAACGAAAGTAACAACATCTGGATAAATCATGATTGACCCCACCCCAGTAACAAACTCTCCCACATTTCATCAACCTTCAAATCTTAAAGCAGTGAAGTTGTAGGAATACTGAACAGGTGATTGGAAGAAGATTGTGAAATGAGCATAATTCAATGACTAACCCTTTCCTAAATTTCAGTGCGATATTAACAACGTTGCTAGGTTAATGCAGAGAAAATATTGTGACATGTATTGTAAATGCATGACACAATGGTTATTTTATTCAGTCATCAAAATCAGTACAAAACTTGAAGGAATTAATGTAAGAAATTGCAATGAATTTTGATGATCCCAAAGCTTGAACAAAAGCTACCTCTGAGTACATGTACATTTTACCTCGGCACACAACATTGGCTATCTTCAGAGGTTGTTGCATGTTGGCTTATGTGAGTTGAAAGTTAGTTAATACTTAGTCACACACTTCTATGGATGGAATATCTGAAAAGGAAGTGTTTGATGGTACCAAGTAAAGGCCCAAATGAAGGAAGCAAGGATATAGGACTTCGAGAAAGTTCATCTGCATTAAATTTGTCTTTAATTAAAGGAACGTGCCCTTAATTTTTTTTTTTTTTTTGTGCAATGTCGTCTTTAAAGTTTAATGGGCTTTCAGAGAGGAAACTCTTTATATCAACGGCTTCACACAACTTTTCAGCTCTGAAATTGCAAAACGATTGACTTCAAAAAAAAAAAAGATTAACAATCACTTTGTCGTTAAAGTCATCACATTTGCAAGAATTATTGCATTGACGAACTTGAATCATTTTTCAAATTTCAGATTCTATAAAAAATAATATATAACATTAGTTATATTCTTAAAAAAAAAAAATCTTATACATTGAAGAGTAAAAGTAGAATATATTTGTTACCACCTTAAAGTAGTCGTGCATTACTTAAAAATTAAAACTAATGATAATTTATAAATAATTATTTTAATCACGAAGACATCTTTTGACTTAAAAATAATTTTATAAATGACTGTTCATATTTTCTTAAGTGGTTTGAGATTAATTGGGTAAAATTATTACCAAGTAACATATTTGAAGAGTTTTGACAACTTCATAAAAACCTCTCTATATATGTAGTTACATAAGGGTTTTGGTATTATTCTTAGACGAAAATTAGAATTTTATCTTCATAATTTCTATAAGTTTGCATTAAAAATCAAGTTAAGTTACCAAAACAAAATTTCAAATATATGACAAAACATAACAACAAAGACAAAGAGTGAGAAGGCAAAGAAGGTATTCAATCCTAAGAAAAATTATGAGACAAGTGTAAAACCACAACAATGTTCTTCCAACATAGTCAAATAAGACATGCCATTTGAGTCATGACCCTTTTCTTTCTTCAAAATGCTTTTGTTACACTTTTTTTACACTACCCCACAACACAACACCCCTTTATTTTATTTTATTTTTTTCCACCGTAATTTGCTTTCTTTATCACCGAACTTTCATTGGAGGAAGATGTAGAGGTGTTTTCCCCCTCACTTTTTTGACTTGTGTTGATAATAGAGCTTTAAAAATTGTATTGAAAAGAGAGAAAGCACCAAATACAATACTTGGTAATTGAAATGGGGATGGATTTTATTCCTTCAATATCCTAGTGGGACATGTTCATTCATCTTACTTCTTCAACCACAATCATTAACTTCTAATTTGTGCCTACATGATGGGATTTGAGCTTCGTAAACACAGGTTAAAGTGCTTCTTTTTTGGACTTATTGCTCTTCAATCTTAATTATGTTTTTTTACCCAGTAACTTGCCCTTAGAATTGAACTAATATGTGTACCACAATAATAACATAACTTTTTTCCCCATAAGGTAATGTACATGCATCAAACGCATCATTATTGAACAAAATCGGATATTGATATAAATGACAAATCTACGAACAACTTTTTAAGTAAACAAGAACAAAAATTACCCTGTTAGAATAATGGGTAGGTAAAAACTGGTAACTATAACGTGAGTTTCAATCTTATATTGGATAAAAAAATGAATAAATACAAGCTACATCAACTTACAAATTTAATATTTTAAGATTTTGAATTAAAGATAAACTTTATATTCAATTTATATGTTACGTTATTTGTGAAAAATATCCAATAAACAGAAACTATTTGAAAAAAAGTGATTTTAAAGTTATATATATAAAAACTTATACGTGTGTAAATAAGAAGTTAATTATTTTTCGTTTCAGTGACAAATACAAGAATAATTTTAATTTTAAAAGGTGATATTAATTTAAACTTTAATTTCTCAAATTAATAATAAAAGGCATTCAAAAGTAATTTTTTAAACAAACGTGTAAAATCTTTTTTAAAATATTTAAAATTTAAATTGAGTTTCCATGAAAAAGTTATAATAAACGGACTCACTCACGTTTTCAAGAAATTCAAGGGTGATTTTTTTTTTATCGAAAGTCCTATTATTATTTTTTTAACAAAACTATGATATCGCTAATAAATCCATTATTTAAGTGTTTAAAATTTTGTTTTTATAAAAGCTCAACAAAAAAAAAACATGACTTAGTTTTTGGTAGTTACTTTGATTCAGTATCATATAAGTAAAATAATAAAAAATAACTTGTTTTTTCATAAATAAAAAATAATTAAAATGTGAAATTATCCTAATTTTTTACCAAGAATAACTATGTTTTTCTTTATCATTAAACACATGGTGTGGATAGAGATTATTCCAACTTAATTAATGTATCATATTTAAATCCTACATGAGACAGCAACATGTAGTCTCTAACCAACACTACAAGAAAAAACACATTTAGCCACCGAAATTAGCGACCGAATTTTTTCGGTCGCAATTAGCGACCGCTTTAGCGACCGATTTAATTTTGGTCGCAATTAGCGACCGATTTAGCGACCACTTTAATTCGATTGCAATTAGTGACCGATTCAGGGACCACTTTAATTCGGTCGCAATTAGCGACTGATTTAACGACCAAAATATGATTTATTTTGCACTTTTTTATATAGCGACCGAAATAGCGACCAATATTTTGCGTCGCAAAATTTCGGTTGCTAAATCAGTGGCTATATCATACTAAAATAAAAAAATCATTTAGCGACTGATTTAGCGACCGAATTACAAATTGAAATAGTGACCGAATTAAAATCGATCGCTAATGAGAAAATAGCGACCGAATTGAAATCGGTCGCTAATGAATATTATTTTTTTATTATATTTAAATTTATTTTTTTATAAATATACTTTAATTGTTTTAGTATATTTTTTACAATTTATTTTTTAAAAGTAATTTATTTTTTAAAAATAATTTAATTTTTAAAATATACTTTAAAAATAAACTTTGGTCTCAATATTAACAAAATGAATTGTAATAAATCAAATTTATTAAAAATTTAAATTGTAATAAATTAAGACTAGAGTGATGTTAACTATTCAATACATTGTTTAAGAAAAGTTTAATAACAAATATTCTTGAATTTATTTTTCAATTGAAAATTTCAATTGAAATTAAATTATATTTTAAAAATTTATATTAAAAAAATTGAAGAAAATAGAGATTTAATTATACTTTTAATAAATTTAACATAATAATAGTTTTGATTTGTATTTTTAAATATTTATTTTAATTTTTTAAAACAGAGAAACTATAATTTTAGTTTCTAAATACTAAATTTAAAGAATTAAATTTATTATTATTTAATCTTTTAATTTTAGTATTAAAAATTTTAATTATATTTTATTAAATTAAAATAATTACAATATATTTTTCTACTTTGAGAATGAAAAATATAATTAAACTAAAACTCGAAAATATTATAATACATTTTTGAACTCTTTTTGATTAATTTTTTTTTCCTAATTTTTTATAAAGTCAATTTTAATATTTAAAAGTATTTAACATTTTGTTTTCTGAAATGTTTTCTAGTATTACCAAATTCCAGCTCTTAATAACCTCTACAACCAAATTCCAGCTGCAGAGAAACCAAGTGCCCAAATTCCAGGCACCAAACAATACAAAAAGAATGTAAAGAAATGAAAAAGAAGAAACTAGAATGCTCAAACCAGCTTTATGCAATTCTCGCGTAAGTGTTTCTTCTTCAAAAGAAATCAAGTTGCCTCAAGAAAGATTTTCAAAGAACTTCTCAAAAACTGATGTGAATCTTTCTTGAAAAGAGTGTTGAAGTTTGCTTGATTGATTGCTCAAGGATGTGTAAAAGATGATATTCAATATATGTTAAAAAAGTTCAAGCCAAACTGCTTTTATAGAAGATTTTCAAAACTACTGGTTTAATTAATCTGTTAAAAGATTCTTTTAATCTGCTAAAAGTGCAGTTTTAATCTGTTAAAACTTCTTTCAATCCATTAATACGTTCTTGATTCTTTATCAGATTTGTTTTAACTGATACGACAACGTTTATATCAATTAAAACACTTTACAAAAAATCTTCGAAGTTGATTTAATCGATTGTTTCGTGATTCAATCGATTAAAATACTGCAAAACTTTCTTGTAAAACTTTTCAAGTTATTTTAACTGATAAAAATAAGTTTTAATCGATTAAAACGCTGTGTAGAAATTTTTAAGTTGTTTTAATCAATTGAAACGAGATTTAATCGATTAAAAGAGTTCTGATCGGTTATAACTAAATTCTGATCGATCATAACTGATTCTGATCGGTCATAATTGCATTCTGATCGATCATCCTGAACCCTTAAGTGGTTTTAATCGATTAAAATCAAGTTGTATCGATTAAAATATTGTAAAAACATTTCACTTGACATTTTAAGTAATTTTAATCGGTTCTATCAAAGTCTGTATCAGTTAAAAACTTGTTTGAGAAAGCTTTTGTCAAAATACTTTGTTTTTAATTGTTAAAAACATTTTTAGAGGCATTTTGCAAAATCTTTTAAGTGAAGAAACCTCATGCAACAGAAATCTTTTAATTTTAGTATTAAAAATTTAAATTATATTTTATTAAATTAAAATAATTACAATATATTTTTCTACTTTGAGAATGAACAATATAATTAAACTCAAAATTGACAATATTATAATACATTTTTGAACTCTTTTGGATTAAATTTTTTTTCCTAATTTTTGATAAAGTTAATTTTAATATTTAAAAGTATTTAACATTTTGAATTCTCGAAAGGTTTTCTCTAATAACAAATTTAAAAACATAATATTCAAAAAAATAGTTAATGTAAGTTTTCATTATGATCGATTATATTTTGAAATGATCGATCATAATTGAAACGATATAATAGCGGTTCCAGGTTAACCGCTATCTAAAATATATTTTAGATAGCGGTTAAGGTTTAACCGCTATTAGAAGTGCGCTTTTAAGAGTGGTTCCTGTGGAACCGCTATCTAAAATGTATTTCGCTTGAGCGACACTCGGTCTCGCTCGAGCGAAACGCCCCTGCACAAAATTGGCATTGTCGGGTTGTATTTCGCTTGAGCGACTCTAGTCTCGCTCGAGCGATATCCGATGAAAAAATGTATCAATAAATCAATAAAATATAGTTAGATAGAGGTTAAGGTTTAACCGCTATTAGAAGTGCTCTTTTAAGAGCGGTTCCAAGTGGAACCGCTATCATATACAACCAGATTTTTTGATTCTGATCGATTAGATTTTCGAAATGATCGATCATATTTGATAATTTTTTCAAATAATTAATTATAATCGATTAGTTTTCTAAATTATTGATTAAAATTGATTAGTTTTTCAAATAATAGATTAGAATTGATTAATTTCTAAATATATACTAAAAAATTATAATTAAAAATATAAATTATTTAAGAATATTGACTATTGTAAAGATAAAGTAGAATATGGGAGGAGATGAGGATGATAATATAATGATAGAACTTACAAAAATGTAGAATTGAGAAGTTTGAAACAAATAAAATTAAGAAAATAGAGATTTAATTACACTTTTAATAAATTTAAGATAATACTAGTTTTGATTTTTATTTTTAAATATTTATTTTAATTATTTAAAACAGAGAAACTATAATATTAGTTTCTAAATACTGAATTTAAAGAATTAAATTTATTATTATTTAATCTTTTAATTTTAGTATTAAAAATTTAAATTATATTTTATTAAATTAAAATAATTACAATATATTTTTCTACTTTGAGAATGAACAATATAATTAAACTCAAAATTGACAATATTATAATACATTTTTGAACTCTTTTGGATTAATTTTTTTTTCCTAATTTTTGATAAAGTTAATTTTAATATTTAAAAGTATTTAACATTTTGAATTCTGAAAGGTTTTCTCTAATAGCAAATTTAAAAACATAATATTCAAAAAAATAGTTAATGTAAGTTTTCATTATGATTGATTATAAATAGAAATGATCGATCATAATTGAGAAGATATGATAGTGGTTCCACGTTAACCACTATCTAAAGTATAATTTAGATAGCGGTTAAGGGTTAACCGCTATCATATACAACCAGATTTTAAGATTGTGAAGTCTCAGGTTGTATTTCGCTCGAGCGATACTATACTCGCTCGAGCGACATCCGATTCAAACATGAGGTCACCCATGTTACATTATCCGGCTAACTTTGATCGACGGTTAGCAGGTCAACATTCGCTCAAGCGAAAATAACATCGCTCGAGCGACACCACCTGCACAAAATTGGCATTCTTGGGTTGTATTTCGCTTGAGCGACATGGTCTCGCTCGAGCGATGCCACCTGCACAAAATTGACATTCTCGGGTTGTTTTTCGCTTGAGCGACACTGATCTCGCTCGAGCGACATCCACATTTTTTTATTATGATCGATTACATTTTCAAATGATCGATCATATTTGAAAATATATAATAGCGGTTAATATTTAACCGCTATTAGAAGTGCTATATAATAGCGGTTAAGATTTAACCGCTATCATATACTACCACATTTTTCACTTTCATATCTCGCGCCACTTATCCCCAAATAACCCTAACTCTCGCGCCTGACTCACCCATTCCTCTTAACCTTGGCCAGTATCTCCTCCTCACTCCCGGCGAGCCCTAGCCCCCTCACTGCTCCCCCCAAGTCAGCCCTCACCCTAATCCAACCTCCACCAAAGCTCCTCGTCAACCGGACGCCACCCTGTGAGCCACCGCGCCACACCTCTGTTCTTAACCTCCTCCGCAGCCTCTGACACCCTCAACCAAGGTTTGGCTTGTTTGAATGTATATATTGTTATTCTCTTGCATTGTGAATAATATAGGAGAGATAATTTTGACAGAATTTCTTTATGGTTTGTTGTAGGTGGATTTGTGAAGTAGATAGGTTCTTCGAGATCCCTCTTACTGCGGATTTGGTGGTGCTTGACAGCACCAATTTGGGAACTTGTTTTGTTTTGTTTAAAATATGAACACCATTGTTATGTTTAAAATATGAAGGAATTTTAGCAGAGACCTTGTGCATATTGTTCTTTTGTTTCCCTCTTTTACCTAGCAGGTGCGTGAGGTGCAGTGGCACTCGGAGTAACAAGCAGATCGTTGTGCTTTCTATAATTGCAGGTTCCTTGGGTGGCAGGTGCTTCACTGTCTTCATATTTTTATTCTGAGTTTGATTTTAGAAAGTTATGTGTGCATGATGTATCCTTTATAGTGTGTGTTGCGTAAACATAATAAGATCTTCAATTAACAAGAGGCCATAATTGTTAGGCTAGATGGTTTTGCACACCATTATCCTTCTGTTTCATTTGAGGAAAATCTGAGGTACCAAGGTGATAAATAAACTTATTTTGTGATTAGTACAGGACACACTGTACTTACATTATGGAAAGCAATACTTGAAAGATTGTTACATTGAAGGGAGTGTGGACTTCATTTTTGGTAATAATACTGCACTCTTGGAACATTGTCACATCCATTGCAAGTCCGCAGGGTTTATAACTGCACAGAGCGTAAACTCTCCACAGGAAAAACTGGTTATGTATTCTCGAGGTGTGTGATCATGCCTAATACTTACAACATCATCTTCCCACATAATATTTTTTTTAGTCATTGTAACTTGTTTAACAAGGAAAGAGACATTTCCCAATCATCTTGTTTCCCCTACAATACAACAAGTGTTAGTGACTCTTACTTTGTTTTCCAATTCCAAGGCAAAATATGTTCTCTCTTAGTTCTTCCGATGTGAAATCAAGTAAGTACCTAGGTTGAAGTTTATCATCATGACCGAGTCATGTTTATGAAAACCTGATTAAGATAATGAGAGAATGCTCGGTTTTGAAGATGATCTTGCTTTTAAGTTTTGCAGTTTGGTTTGTAAATGTTTAGAAGCATGGCTAACACGGATTTAGAAGTATTTAATTAGAAAAAAACATTCTAGGTTAAAACAAGAACCAGATTCTCTTGAAGCTAGGGAAATGATCCCTTGAAAATTCAATGAATTCAGGAATCCTGTAAGAAATCTTAGAATAAAAATCTTTGAATCGCATACTACTCTATGCTTCCTTGTCAATATTTTGCTCCTCTCCCTTTACAGTGTTTCTTTGGTGTGTTAATCTGTTAAACTTCCGAGTCCAAGAAAGGATACTACACAAGTAAAGTACTTTTATTATGTTGTGAACATTTTGGTTCCTTACATGATGTTTTGTTTGTGGTGTCATTGCAGATGTGTTGTCACAGGTAATGGGGGAACTTCATATGCATATATGGGAAGACCATGGAGACCTTTTGCAAGAGTGGTTTTTGCATTCACTTTCATGGATCAATGTATAAAGCCTGCAGGGTGGAATAATTGGGGAAAAGTTGAGAATGAAAGAACTTCTTGCTTCTATGAATACAGGCAATCATTTCTAACTCCATTCTGTAGTATTGTTATCATCACCAAGGCCTTCTTATACTCATTAAATCAATGGATCTGACAGCAAAATTGTTGATAATTTCATAAAAACATCAAAGTGAAAGAGGGTCTAAAGTGTATAAAATTGTTGTTTATTGAGTTGAACAAGTTTGGAGTAATTTGATAAGAGTGCAGGTGTTCGGACTGGGTTTCGTCTATCCCAAAGAGTGAAATGGGCCGGAGAATTGAAGAATGAAGGAGCTGAGCAGTTTCGAGTCACACCTTCATTGATCCAGAATCATACAGATCTTGCCTTCCTCAAAGAATGACCTTCAATTATTAATTAGGATTATTATTATAATAGAATAATTAATAGATCTTGGCTTCCTTCATAAAATTCCTACTACAAGTCAATATGACACCGACAATATACCGGAGGACTAATTTTCAATTTTATGATATTAAGACTTTGAATCTTGAGTAGTTGTTAAGTTCTTAAGTTTCATTTATGTTATGTTTGGATGAATTAAGCACGTACAAATTTTGTAAAATTGGATATACAAAATTTGACTTTAGTTCTTAAGTTTTCATTTGTGTTATGTTTGGATGAATTAAGCAGGTACAAATTTTATGATTTGAATAATTTGACTTTAGTTCTTAAGTTTTCATTTGTGTTATGTTTGGATGAATTAAGCAGGTACAAATTTTGTCAAATTGGATATACAAAATTTTAAACGAAAATTTTCAGATTTGGTTAGATTAGCGATCGAATTTTTGGTCGCTACAAATTTATTATAATATACAATTCAAATTTAGAGATCGATTTAGCGATCGATTTAAATTATTATTTAAATAATTCAATTAATATATTAGCGATCGATTATATCCGTCGCTATTATTTTTAACTTTATCTCCATTTTAGCTGATCGATTTTAATTATTATTTAAATAATTATATTAATATATTAGCAATCGAATATATCGGTCGCTATTTTTTAAAACTTTACCACTGATTTAGCGACCGATTTAGCGACCGATTTATTATATTATTTTCGGTCGCTATTTTGGTCTTCAATGCATAAGTGACCAAATTATTTAGCGACCACTTTAGCGACCACCTCATCGGTCGCTATTTAGCGACCGAAATGTAAATCGGTCGCTAACAAATTAGCGACTTGCCCTTTTGCAACCAACCATTTCGGTCGCTAACGGAATAGTGATCGATTTTTTGCCATTAGCGACCGATTTTTTCGGTCGCTAATAGCGTTTTTCTTGTAGTGCAAAACACCATGTTTTTCTTCTGATTTAATGATTAATTATTTTAAAAGAACAAACATTTCAAATTGGATTAAAATCTGGCACAAAATCGATTTAATTACTTCTAAAAATAAATAAAAAATATAAATGAACATGGATAAACTCACCGACAACTTTAAAACCGGATTCAAAATTTACAAACTAATCTAAGTTTAATATTCGTAATCCTATTTTTCCATTTAAATTACAAATCATAATTGAAGTTGATCGGTTTGTAAAATAATCATTAAAATATTAATTAAAAAAAAAAACATAGACCAAAAACTAATAAGAATAGGCTCCCATCTTTCGAATTATAATTTATATATATTTTTATTTCTTTGTAATTAAAATCTAATATAATATTAAAATGTGTATAATCTCATATAATAATAGACATCTTAGATGATATTATATTATTTATATTAATTTTATGTTAATTGATTTTAGGTTAAAATTAAGAAAATTCTTAAGCTTGTTATCCAAAAATTTGTTAATAAAAGTAATATAAGAGTTTTTTTGTTAGGTATTTGATCAAATAGGATCACCTAGTTCTTATAAAATTTATCACTAAAACATCCTCATTCGGAGAGGTAGGGCTAATGGAACAAAAAAGATTTTCTATGAGATAGAAAATGAAAACTATTAACTCCATGAAATTTGTAAAGAAGTAATTACATGTATATGTTGAACACACAAATGTAATACAAGACGAAAATAAATAATAAAAACATAAAGAATTTACGTGGTTCAGTTAAAGTGACCTATAACTGCACTAGATTATAGTTCTCATTTATACAATTAGGTTTATAATTACATGAGTATTTATAATAAAAGAATAAGTAAATGAGTCAGGCTCAATAATCCTTCAGACTCCACATACATAATAGTCTCCAACTTTGAGGCTAATCACTTGAAGCACACTCCAAAGTAAATCTAGTAAACCTCACATTTATAACAGTATCAAACTATAATGCATTGTTTTCTTAACAATTAATCATGAAGGCCAGTTGAAGTTATGCAAAACTTCAACTTCTCAGTAGTAACCACCTTAGTCAACATATCTGCAGTTCTCTAACCCAAGGATCTTCTCTAAAAATAAAGTATCATCACTTATTAGTCTTCTAATGAAGTGATACCTCAATTGGATGTGTTTTGTTCTTGCATGAAAAACATAATTCTTTAAAAGATGAATGACACTCTAACTATCACTATAAAGAATAATGTACATTAATTCTTGCCTAGCTCCTCAAGAAAATTTTTCAACCAAATCATTTTCTTACTGATTTCCGAAATAGTCATGTACTCTGCTTCTATGGTTGAAAGTACAACACTTTTCTGAAGTCGAGACATCCAACTAGTTATTGTGTCACCTATTGTGAAGACAAATCATGTAGTATTCTTCCTTGTGTCGAAACACTCTCCCAAATCTGCATCGGAATATTCTTTCAAAATGACACTATTTTTTCTAAAACATAATGCAATTTTAGAAGTACCTTTCAAGTAGCGTAACAACTATTTGACAGCTTCTTAATGCTTCCTTCCTGGGTTAGACATGAATCTACTAACAACTCCCACTGCATGAGCAATGTCTGGTCTAGTGCATAGCATTGCATACTTTAAGATACCGATTGCAAATGCATAAGGAACTTTAGTCATTGTTGTCTTGCCTTCATCTATCTTAGGTGACTCCTCTTGAGAGAGATTAAAGTGAACTCCTAATGGTGTACTTACGATTTTGACATCCTGCATATTGAATTTCTCTAATACTTTCCCAAGATACTTCTCTTGAAATACTATTAGGGAACCTTCAAATTTGTTCCTACTATTCATGCCCAAAATCTGCTTTGCAATACCCAAATTCTTCATCTCAAACTCTTCAGACAATTGTTCCTTCAATCGATTAATTTCATCCATGTTAGAACCTACAACTAACATGTCATCAACATACAATAGTAATATGATATAGGATGAATAAAAAATTTTCATATAACAACACTGATCCATGACACACTTCTTGTACTCTATCCTACTCATAAAATTATCAAACTATTAAGTACTACTGTCTAGGTGCTTACTTCAACCCATACAAACTTTTGGTCAACTTGCAAACCAAATTCTCTTTTCCTACAACTTGGAAACCCTCCGATTGCATCATGTAGATGTCTTTATCAAGGTCACCATATAAGAATGTTGTTTTAATATCTAACTGTTCTACGTGTAAATCATCTGCAACCACAATACTTAACACAAGTCTAATGGTAGTCATTTTAACTATAGGAGAAAATTTCTCATTATAATCATTACCTCTTTTCTGTTGAAAGTCTTTCTCCACTAACCTTGTTTTGTATCTCTTGTTGTCATCGTGTTATTCCTTGATCCTGAAGACCCGCTTGTTCTGCAATGCATTTTTTCCTGTTGGTAGGTCAGTCAAACACCAAGTTTTATTTTTCTCAAGTGAGTTCATTTCCTGTTGCATAACTAACCCCTACTGAGTTGCACCATTCATATACAATGCCTCAACATAACACAAAGATTCTCCATTATCAATCAACAAGTAATTTGTTAAAGGAGAAAATCTGTAAGGAAACCTAATAACTCTGATTGATCTCCTCAATTCAACTACTAGGGTGACAGGAGTAGTCTCCTCAATAGTCATGTCTCCTAAGCTCCCACCATTTTCCTGAAAGATCGTCTTCTGTAATGTTCTTTAACACTACCTTTTCCTTCTCTGCTGGCTTCTTTTCAGCTTCAACTTTTGTCTCAAGTTTATCCTTATATATTGCATTTTCATTAAATGTAACATCTTTGCTTCTAATGATCTTTTCATTAAATACACTTTCTTACTTTCGGATCAAGCTTGTCCTTGTTAATATCTTTAACACGAACATAAGAAACATAATCAAATACTTTTAAATGAGAAAGACTCTTACCTTGTCATTCTTCATCAGGAATCTGTTAACATCTTTAACACGAACATAAGAAGCACAACCAAATACTTTCAAATGAGAAAGACTTACATTCTTATCTTGTCATTCTTCCTCGAGAATCGTAAATACTATGGGAACTGAGGGTCCTCAATTAATGAGGTAAGCTATTGTGCTCATTATATCTGTCCAGAATGTCTTCGATAATCCTGCATGAATTCTCATACTTTTTGTCCTCTCATTCAGGGTCATGTTCATTCTTTTAGCAATATCATTCTGCTGAGGTGTCTCGGGAATAATTTTAAACATTCTAATTCTATTCTCAGCACAACAATCAACAAATTCAGTACTACTATATTCACCATCATTATCAGACTTTAAACATTTAATTTTTAACATTGTCTCATTCTCAACAATGGTTTTTACTTCTTAAAGGTATTAAATACTTCTGATTTTTGCTTCAAAAAATAAACTCATACCTTTCTAGTGGAATCATCAATGGAGGTGACATAGTATGTGATCCTCCCAATAATGAGATTGATGTTGGCCCATACACATATGAATGAACAAGTTCCAACTTCTCCACCTTGGGCATCCTTCCTGACTTTGCAAAACTAACTTCTACCCTTTTCAGTTCTGAAATATTCCCTTTTGAGACTAATATCTTCATACGCTTCTCGCTCATGTGACCAAGTCTTTGGTGCCACAAAGTTAAAGAATAACCAAAATCATCACCAACATCATCAATAATTGAATTTACTTTTTCTGTAGGTAATTCTACCATATATAGGGTTCCTTTCTTCCAACCACGGACAACAATTAGACTATAATTCACTATCTTCCATTTGTCTTCTCCAAATATGACTCAATATCCTTGAACATCCAACATACTCACAGAGATTAACATTCTCTTGAGTCCTAGAAAATATCTGACATCCTTCAGAATCCATATTATACTCGTAGATGTTTAAAGATTTATATCTTCCATGTCTAGGATGTTTAAAGTTTCATCGTTTGCTAGATGCACTTTGTCAAAACTTCCATTTCTGAAAATTTTCATCAAGTCCTTGCAAGGAGAAGCATGGAAAGATGCACCAAAATCCATAA